CCTTCACTCCCCTCCACCCTGTACACCCTCTCCCATCCACATTCCTGCCCTTTAGTTCATGTCCATGTGTCATAAGTTCTTTAGCTTCTACATTTCCCATACTATTCTTGCCCTCCTCCTGTCTATTTTCTACCTACCATCTATGCTACTTATTCTCTTATTCTCTGTAACTTTTCTCCCTCTCTCCTCCTCCCACTCCCCTGTTGCTAACCTTCCATGTGATCTCCCTTTCTGTGGTTCTGTTTCTGTTCTAGTTGTTTGCTTAGTTTCTTTTGGTTTTGTTTTAGGTGTGGTTGTTAATAATTGTGAGTTTGCTGTCCTTTTACTATACATGTTTTTTTCTCTTCTTTTCTTAGGTAAGTCCCTTTAGCATTTCATAAAATAAGGACTTGGTGATGATGAACTCCTTAACTTGACCTTATCTGAGCAGCACTGTATCTGCCCTTCCATTCTACATGAAAGCTTTGCTGGATAGAGCAATCTTGGATGTAGGTCCTTGCCTTTCATGACTTGGAATACTTCTTTCCAGCCCCTTCTTGCCTGTAAGGTCTTTTGAGAAATCAGCTGACAGTCTGATGGGAACTCCTTTGTAGGTTACTGTCCCCTTATCTCTTGCTGCTTCTAGCATTCTCTCCTTCATTTTTACCTTGGCTAATGTAATTATGATGTGCCTTGGTGTGTTCCTTCTTGGGTCCAACTTTTTTGGGACTCTCTGAGCTTCCTGGACTTCCTGGAAGTCTATTTCCTTTGCCAGAATGGGGAAGTTCTCCTTTATTATTTGTTCAAATAAGTTTTCAATTTCTGGCTTTTCCTCTTCTCCTTCTGGTACCCCTATAATTCGGATGTTGGATTGTTTAAATATGTCCTGGAGGTTTCTAAGCTTCTCCTCATTTTTTTGAATTCTTTTTTTTGTTTGTTTTTAAAATTTACTTTATTTATGTTTTTAGAGAGGGAAGGAAGGGAGAAAGAGAGAGAGAGAGAAACATCAATGTGCGGTTGCCAGGGGCCGTGACCTGCAACCCAGGCATGTGCCCTGACTGGGAATCGAACCTGCGACACTTTGGTTCGCAGCCTGTGCTCAATCCACTGAGCTACGCCAGCCAGGTTGAATTCTTATTTCTCCATTCTTTCCTGTTTGGTTGTTTCTTTCTTCCTTCTGGTCCACTCTATTGAAGGAAGAATTTTTAAAAAACCCTGCAAGTTCTGATGAAGAGCAAGATGAAATTTGTCTCAGCTGTTGGTGTTTGCTTTTTGAGTGCTTTCTGGATGTCTGTTTTTCTCTTAGCTCCAGGTCTTACTGTCTTACTCCTAGGGGTGTGGGGGAGGGGGGGAAGACAAGCCCCCTGCTGCTTGTTAAGCCTGCCCAGCTGGTTTTGCAGATCTTCCTGGCACTAGTGCTGGCTGCTGCAGGCAGTGGGGGCTTGGGCTAAGTTTTCCCTTTCCTGTGGTTCCTCCAAGGAAGGAGGCTCATTCTGGGCTACAATAATCACAGGTGCTCAATTTCCAACTCACCACCCTCCCAGCACCCTGTGGCTGGTACTGTCCACTCTGCACAGTTGCTCCAGGTTAGCTACCGACAAAGTACCTCACTTTGCACCCTTTGATCAATCCGTGGGGTGCACTGAGTGGGGGCAAATTGCACCCACAATCCTCTCTCCTTGTCCAGGCAGCTGCATGCTCAAGGTCCCTGCCCAGTGAGCCTTAGTTCCCCTTTTTGAAAAACGTCTCTGTGGGTGCACCACTGCCTGGCTTTCCACACACTTCAACTCTCTGGCAAGTCCAGAGTCGGTCTCAGTCATGACCAGTTGCAGCCCACCTTTTCTCCCAGCTCCAGGTGCCCCAGGATCCGTCTCCTGCTCTCTGGCACTGTTCTGGCCAGTGATGGCTGCCCCAGCTTTAGTGCACTGCCCGCTGTGTTTGCGTGTGCCACGTCTTTCTCGCCAGACTTTACACGTTCAGTCTCTCCTGGAGCAGGTCTTCGATTTCCCCACCTTGGGAGCGGAGGGAGATGCTAGGCTATCACTGGCCTGGCTCTCCTCCAATGTTGACCCTAGAGCAGCCATGGTTTCTGGCACCATGCTCGGGGACTTTCCCCCTCTGCCTATAAAACCTCCTTACTGCCCGTTTTGAAGCATCCTCTGCTCACTTTCATATCAGCTAAGATTCTTTTGGCTGATCACTGTTTTTCAGAAGATCAGCTAAGTGTCCAAGCTGGGTGCATGAGCAAGTGGGCTCAGTTCCCACCTACTTGGCTGCCATCTTCTCTCCCCCTAAATCCCTTTTTTGAAGGTACAAATTACAATTCTGTAAGCTTTTTCTTAAGTCTTTTTCAGAATTTCTGAAAAATACTCTCAAGTCCCAGAAAACCATTGTGTTACCACTTTTCACCATGGTCAGCTTCTCACTTCAGAATAATCCTCCCCCCTCAGTTGTTCAGATTGCTCTTTCAAAGCTGGCTTCCACAGGCTGTTGCTGTTCTCCAGGGATAATTCTGTCCCAGGCATGCTCCCAGACTGCATATCTAATTCCACACAGAACAGCTACATCGAGATTATACTAGTGTGCACAATTTTACACAAGGCTTAGGGTAACTAGTGGAACTACTATACTACCGATGCCCTGTGACCTTAGTCACCAACCCTTCCCTGCTCCCTCACTCTTCACATCTGTAGTAACACCTCAAGGGCCAGCTTCTCTCCATCAAATGGATTCAGTCAGTCAGGGGACGTATACTGGGTGTCAGTTATGTGCCAGGCAATATGAAGATACAAGGGTGAAGCAAATAGACACAGTTCCTGTTTTCATGAGAGACATTAAATAATTACAGAGTTGAGCAAATAATTCTAAGTGTGCAACATACTGCCAAAGAAATACATGGAGTCCAGGCTTAGGTCCTCTGCATTCTCTGGGGCTCAGAGAAAGGGGAAAAAGAGCACTCCCACTTCTTATATTCTATCTAGTCAAATTAATAATAAAATAATCTTTACAAAAGCAATTCCTACCTTCAGGAAGACAGCTTTTTTTTTTACATTATTATGCTGTTGAACTCATGATTTTATTCATATTTCCTCAATAGAAAATGAATAAAGCCAAAATTCATGAACACTTAAACTATGTGCTTGGCACCATCCAAAGCTCAATATACATATTGAGCTGGCCAAAAAGTTCATTTGATTTTTTTCCATAAAATGGCTCTAGCAGCACTTAGTTGTCTTTAACTTCACTCAAAACAATTTTGTTGGATTCTATTATGACAGCTGTCATATCAGCGTGCATTTAAAAAACTAATCAAAATGGTGAATTTTTGTGTAGCCATTTTAATATTAAAGATGGAAGAAAATAAGCAATGTTTTTGGCATATAAGGCTTTATTTTTTCAAAAAAGATAAAAATGCAACTGAAATGCAGAAAAAGATTTGTGCAGTGTATGGAGAAAGTGCTGTGACTAATTGAACATGTCAGAAGTGGTTTGTGAAGTTTCATGCTAGAGATTTCTCACTGGACAATGCTCCATTGTTCGGTAGAGCACAGCTGAAGTTGATAGCAATCAAACTGAGACATTAATTGAGAATAATCAATGTTATATCATGCTGGAGAGAGCCAACATGGTCAAAATGTCCAAATCAATAAAGTTATTGGTGAAAATAAAAATGTGTCTTTTACTTTACGGTAAAAACCATAAGGGCTTTTTGGCCAACCCAATAATTTTCACAATAACCTATGAAAGAGTCCTATTAATTTCCCCATTTTCCTGATGAGGCAACTAAGGCACAGAAAGGTTTTAACTAGCCCAAAGTCACACAGCAAGTAATGGTAGAATTAAGAATGCAGGCAATCTGACTGCCTAGCTCAAAGTCTTTATTACTGCCTCTTAATAGCGAAATTTTGTATAATCACGGATAGGTCATTAAAATGATTTTCCCAAAACAATAGTTCAATCTTCCTCCAAAGGTGTATTCTACCTCCACCTTTAAAGCAGAGAAAAAACATTGGCAACCCCTCACAATCAGTTTCCCATCTTCTGCCTCTGAACTTAGTCTCAGAGTGAGGTTCTGGGCACTCTGCCACATCATGCTTCTCTATTCAGATGGACTCTCTCCTTTTCAGTTGTTGAAACCACACCCATTCTTCTGTAGAAGTCAAAGTAACCCCTTCTCAGGGCTAGTTCATAGTGACCTCTTCCATCTCTGAATTCATGTAACAAGCACTGTTTATGGCCACACTCTTACAGATGACCTTCTCTATTAAGTTCATAGGGAGTGTATATTTCCCCAAAGTAAACAGCACAGTGTCTTGCACGAAATTGGTACTCAAAAAAGAAGAGAGGGTCCCCAGACTGTAGGGGATCTGTGTGGCAGGCAGCAACACTGGTAGCAAGTAGACATTTTAGCTCTTGATTATATGTTTTATATAAGATTTTAAAAAATCTATGGATACTATGAACATATCTGAAAAATATTCATTCAATAACTGTTTAATGTGCTAGGTATTAAAAGTAGATTAAACTCTCTTTCCTGACCTCCACAATTTACCAGCTGCTTTCCAGATATATCCACAAATTCAAATCCAAGATTATTGTCCTTATCTCTACACCACAGAAATAAATATTCCAAACTTGCCCCTCCTTAAAGTCTTAACATTTCTTGCAAGCTCTCCATCACCTTAGGGATATATGTGTCAATTACTTTTTCCTTAAAAAATCTAAGTTATATATTCATTCTATGAATGTAATGAAGAAACAGTACTAAGAGACTATGTTCTTAACTCTTTTGCCACCTTACCAATACCATCAGGGTACTCTTTCTGTTCACTTGTAGATCTTGTGTTAGAATAAATTTTAATTGTTTGCTAAAAGAGTTTAAAATCACTTTCAGAACATTATTATTTTAAAAATGTTTTATTTTATTTATTTTTAGAGAGAGGGCAAGGGAGGGAAAAAGAGAGAGACAGAAACATCGATCAGCTGCCTCTTGTGTGCCCCCAACCAGGGACCTAGCCTGCAAGCCAAGCATGTGTCTTGACTGGGAATTGAACTGATGACCTTTTGGTTTGTAAGATAATGCCCAACCCACTAAGCCACACCAGTCAGAGCCAAAACATTATTTTTTTAACTGAGGATTGTAAGTGGGACAACTGAAGCAAAGGAATTGTTATGCTTTTCACAGTCCTCGAGATATAAATCTTCATGCAATATAGAAATGTAATCAAATAAAATTAAAATTAAAAATGCTAACAATTCATATTAATTAGAGGTGTTTTGTTTCCTGCCACAATTTCATTCCAGAATTAATTAGTTTCTAAAATAAAATACATGGAAACTTAAAGACTCACTCGAATCTTAATGCAAAAAACATAAAATAGAGTTTTAGTTCTTTAAACTTTCTGTAAAAATTATCCAAATGTATTGGTACAGATTATTTCAGGAACGAAATCTGGTTCCTATGTTAGCTTTCCAGACAAATTTAAAGAAAGGCATCTTGGCATTAGTTTGCTTCTGCTCTAAGTGGGTTCTTTATATTTTACTTGAATTAACTTGTAAAGTAATTGTTTACTATAAATCAGTATAAAGTAAAAAACTGGTAAATAAAAAATAGTAAGTATAAATAATCTGAAAGAATACTGTTAAGACATTTCTCCCACACCATAACGGTGGTATAAAACATGAAGATGGCGCTTGATGGGATCCACAATAAAGTAAGAAAATGTCTGTTCATGACTCTTTGTCGAAGGGTAGCATAAACCAACAGAATCCTGAAAAAGATAAACTTAAAATTACTTAGTATACAACCTAATTTAAATAATAATCAACATATTTAACAAGTATATTTTATGTGAAAATGTCATGAAACATATCAAACCTTGACAATAAATTGGCAGTTAAGTAATTTAAAAAAATATCATCAGCACAGTCTACTATGCCAACAAAACATATATGTATTAGTACAACACAAACACGCATAATTCTTTACCTTCTGTAATTCATAGTTCAAAAGGAAATCTCATCTTTTTAAAAAGTGCTTATAAAGTGCTAATATTGCAAAAATTTATATTTTTCAATTTTCTTCTTAGTTTTCTTTTAAAATGTGGTCCTTATGTACTTAGAGGGACTATATTTCTTTTGTTTATCAGCCAAAAGTACCTAGCCCAGCAAAGAAGCTAACACACAGTAAATAATAAATATTGAACTGATTAAATGAAGATACTTAGCAAGTGTCATTTGTGCCGGTAATCTTTTTTTAAAACTACTTGTTAACCATTTTATTTTTAAGATTTTATTTTAAAGACAGGGGAAGAAGGGAGAAGGAGAGGGAGAGAAACACCGACTGGTTGCCTCTTGCACACCTTTACCTGGGGACCTGGACTGCAACCCAGGCAGGTGTCCTGACTGGGAATGGAACCTGAGACCTTTTGTTCCTAGGCTGATACTCAATTCATTTTGAGCCACACCAGCCAGGGCACCAATAATCTTTTGTATACTAAATTTCAAGCATCTGATTCTGTGATATATAGACATTTATGGCATTCTTACTTATTTGACCTATAAATTGTGGTTTGACAGAGAACTATGTTTTATTCCACTTAAGTCACAGATTTAGCTCTTAAGGAAGCTAGGGAAAAAGGTTCACACTGTTTTCCAAATAAAACCATATCTTATCAAATTTTAATTTTAACAAAAAATTAAATCTTTTTTTTAGCAGGTGGAATTAACTCAGTAATGGCTTTAATTCTCTCCTGTGATTATTGCCTAGACCCAGGAGTCAAATATATGTTAATAATTTACTTTTTGTTTGGTAACCTGAGCCTTCTTTTTTGATACCTGATACCCTCTTTCAGCTAGGAAATTCAGAGTCTGGATGGTATTTTGATCAGAAGCCTCCTCAGAGGTGCTGTAGATTAGTATATCATCTACATATTGTAAAATGGCACCTCCTTGTAACTGTTGCTCTCTAAGACCCTTTCCTAATACCCTAACAAAGAGGTGAAGAGTATCCCCAAACCCTTGCGGCAATACAGTCCACGTGTATTGCTGATGTATCACCATCTTTTGATTAGTCCACTCAAAAGCAAACAAATATTGAGTTGGGATGCAAAGGAATGCATAAGAAGGCATCTTTCAAATCTGACACTGAATACCACTGAGCATCATCAGGTACCTGTGAGAGCAAGTTATAAGGGTTAGCTACTATTGGATGTAAAGGGACTACTGCTTCGTTGACTAACCTTAGATCCTGGACTAATCTATACTTTCCAGTGGGTTTTATCACCAGTAAGATGCGAGTGTTGCAAGACTGACAAGGAACTATGAGCCCATGTTGTATAAATTTATTTATGATAGGCTGTAACCCCTCTAAAGCCTCTTGTTTAATAGGATACTGCTTCCTGTGAGGATAATCTGACCTGGGCTTTAATTGGATTTTAACTGGTAATGCACTCTGCTCTTCCCAGAATCCCTGACTCCCAAACTAGTGGGTTTACTGCATGCAGAATTGAACTGGGGATTCCCTTCTGGTTTGGGCTACTACTGATTATTATGACCTTGCTTAACTCAAGTGGCTCTTCAGGGAACAAGAAGATGGTTCCCATTCAGGCTAAAAGGTCTTGGCCTAATAGAGGAATAGGGCACTGAGGAACAATCAAAAAGGAGTATTTGAGCCCTGGCAAGTGTGGCTCAGTGGATTGAGAGCTGGCCTGCAAACCAAAGGGTCCCCAGTTTGATTCCCATTCACGGCACATGCCTGGGTTTGCAGGTCAGGTCCCCACCAGTAGGGGGAGAGAGAGAGAGAGAGGCAACCACACATTGATGTTTCTGTCTCTTTCTCCTTCCCTGCCCCTCTGTCTAAAAATAAATAAATAAAATCTTTTTTTAAAAAAAGGAGCGTTTGAATATTTGACTCTCAAACTGGCAAGTGATAGAGAATGTATAAAAATAGGCCTTAAGTTTTCCTTCAAACTCTATTATCTTCACTGATTTGGAGGAAAGAGGCTAAGAACAAAATAAACAGTATCAACAAGGAAGTTGATTTTCTTTCCTGCCACATCCAGAGTTACCTGGGACTCCTTAGTAGAGATGGGAATATGAGTATTCCCTGGGACCAACCTGTTCCCTGGGTGGTCCTTGACAGTAGCCATGACCTTGGGTGATGACCCCTTTCCACTCTGGGAAGGGGGGCAGTCTACCTTCCAGTGCCAGGGGTCAGAACTGATATTCTTGCACAGAGGACAGGGTCCCGGAGGTAGGTGAGTGCAGTTCTTTGCCCAGTGTCTAGGATGCTTGCATTTATAACATCCTTTTGCCCCTGATTCTTTAAATATTATCATCTTTTTTCCTAGGCATAACAGCCTTGTTTGTTAACTTCAATTGTAACAACCTTATTAATAGCAAGTAATTAAAGTCATTGGTAGCAAATTTCTCCTCCACTTACATATGCTGTAACTTTAAAGATGAAAGAGGTAATTTGTATTTCCTTTGTTTGAGGATGCTTCCTAACACTAAAATAGAGAGGAAAGGTACATTTGAAATATAACAAACATTGGAATTATACACTTAAAATGCTGATACATTTTAGTAGTCAGGTGTTCTTAATCATATACAGAGTCTGGCACAAATAATGCCCCTTTTTATTACAAAATCTTTTACTACAAAATCATAAGCATGTAATTCTGCAACATAACAATATCACATTCAAGCATACCATATAACATTTTAGGTGAAATGTTCAAATTAAAACTATAAATTATTACACCCATATTATTACCCTACCAAACACACTCAAGTAGGCCTTACTTCTGTGCTGGATCCAGTAATACATGGAAATATGTACCATCCAACCAAAGTGGTTCAAAAAGGATGGCATCTGCAGTTCCATTCAAGGATGATGTAAAGTCAACTAAGTTGAAATTGCAGAAAATAAAATTTTAGAAGGTTGAGGTCAGTCTGAGACTCAAATGATGAAATGACTCCTTGGCAGAGACAATTTTTGGAAAACAGGAACTGGTAAAAGTTATATTGAAGTGTGGACAGCTGTAAGGGGTAGATAAATGAATAATAAACTAAAGAATTAAAGGACTTAAACACACATTAGTTCTACCACCGATTTGTTATTTCACTTTGGACAAGATTAACTGTACTGAACCTCAATTTTCTCATATGTAAACAAGGCATACTATGGTTCTTTTAAGGATTATAGGGGTATTAGGTGGGGTAATGTATATAGAAAGTACTTGTTAAATTGTGTATTACTAAATTATATGATATTAAAAGCATTGTCTCTCAGTAGCTCTTTCAGTTACATTCCCTACAAAAGATGACCTGTGGCAATACATAGTGGGGAAGCAAACTGAGGATTGAGAAAATAAGCTACAGATAGATACCTACATATAAATACATACAGATAATGTTTATAATGCTTTATAATCTGCAAAACACCTTTAATAATTTACCTCATAAAGATTACACAATTCAATGAAGTACGCATTATTTCACTACTTTTATAAACAGTAGGACTAGAAAAATTAAATGATATATTTCATATATTCCAACTAAAAGTGGTATTTCTAGGAACAGAACCTAGGTGACAAGAGTCCAGTTCTCTTTCCTCACACCTCACCTGTTTATCCTATACCCACACTCTATAAATAAATATGAATCAGGGGTACTGTTCAGGTATGGAAGGTATAGGTTAAATTTAATGGAAGATGTCCCTCTTCTTCACTTTACTGGGTGAAAGCATTGTTTCTTCCTCAATACTTATGTGAAAGTAATGGGAGAGAGAGGGGAGGAGGAGGAAGAAAAAAGGTGAACTTTGTGGAAGGGTGTGTGTGTGCGTGTCTTTCAGCTTATGTACCTATTGGGGATGGCCAGACCTAAGGCCATTATTTCAAGGTTCAAGATTCTTAGGCAGCTTTTATCTCTAAAACATTTCATTCCAATTTAAACCCAGGAATCACATAATTAAATTGATTTCCATATATTTCTATGACATGGGTTGAGGTCGTTTTATTTTTCTAATGCCCAAGACATACTTTTTAAAAGTTGAAGACTACATTTAAATGCTGTACTATAACCACTACATATAAAACATTTGTATATACCAACAAAACCACCCAGATCAAAATACAGAACATATTTACAGCTACCTCTAACTTAAGATATTGAGTTGGGGGTGTTTATATGGGTGTAAACTTATATAAAAATTCACCAACCTGTATGTTCACTATGATTTGTTCACTCTACTGTATGTAAATTACTCCTCAGTTAAAAAATTTTAAAACCCCCTTGTAAAATTTGTGCTTTTCAAATAAACTTAGAGGAAAATTTAGTATTTGATACTTCATTTAACAACCACTTAACACGTATTAACATGTACCATAAGTGTATTCCTTAAAAAAAGAAACTATGATTTATACGTCAAAAGTTGGTTCCTAACAGAAATAAATCGTATTACTCCATTTTATTGCCTCTAATCCCATATTGCTATCACTTTAAAATATCCCATAAGATAATTTGTCTAAATTTTTATAGGTCAAGTACAGTATCACCTGTCTGGTATCTCTTAAGAAAGAAAGAAAAGGAAATGTAAAGTGATATTCATTAGTGACCTCAGCTTTGCTACTAATCATTGCCTTGTATGATATTTTTGACAATCACTAACTCAGTTTCCAGATAGGTTTTTAAGGATGCTGGGACATAATTTCCATATAGTTTTTTTAAAAGTGTGATTATATTAGTAGTCTAGAAATAAAGTAATATAATAAATGGTTTCTTACTAATATCACCTGTGCTAATTTCTGAGGATCAGTCCCATGATGACTCTAAACATGGTATATAGACCACTCTAAGTAACTCTGCTCATTTTAAGAAATAAGAGTCCCACTGCTTAATTAGCATCCAAAGTCCATAAGCTAAGCCTCTCAGTTCAATCATAAAATTTCACATCTGGGACAGATAGTTTGGGAAACCTCTCCAAAAACTTTGACAAGTGCATTTGTTTAATGTCTAAGGTAAAAAAAGAAACCTATCTGGACATAGGCACCATTAATAATTGTAGAATTATCTCTGCATATTTTTAAAATGTAATGAAACAGTTGATCATTTACTCTAATAAAAAGGGTCTAAAGTATTGCCTATGTTATTTAAGAAACCATAAAACTTAAAAGAAGACACTTTCCAACACTTTTAAAAGGTGTATTTTATAGAACTTGTAATAATGATAAGGGATAAAATATCTTAAGAAATATTTTTATTCTTTTGTTTGAGTCCGAGACTCCTAAAATCAGACTCTGTAATGTGTCCCCAGCATCCACAAACATGTCAGAATAGGTTAGTAATGATGTTTATCTGTAAGGGCAGGTTAGATACTGTAAAGCAGATATTGCATACATAACTAGAAAAGTAGCAGATGTTTAAATAATGTAAAAGAATCCAAACTTCAGGTAAAGGAACAGGAAAAAATATCGTTCTTGATTAAATTAGCTTGTACACATGACTTAATTGGATATGTGGCTCACAGTTCTGAGAGATTACTGATGATACTCCAAGTTCTACCTATGTATCCTTAACTTATGTACTGAGATCTGTCCAGAAAGTATCCAGCCGTGTACTATGAAAAAAAGACATTTATTGAAAAAGATGTAAGATACAAGAAACATCGTACATAGGACAATGATGCCTCAGTCCCCTTCAAATTAGGCACCTTGGGGTCTCACTTAGTTCTTCCAATCACCATCAACTACCTTGTCATATTTTCCTGAATCTCACTGATGGTCTGTCTGAAATCTCTTCCCTTTCAAAGGTGATTTTAGTTTTGGGAAAAGCCAGAAGTTGCAGGTGCCAAATCTGGGCTGTAGTGGGGCTGAGTCACCTGAGTGATTTGATGTTTTACCAAAACACTCAGCACAAGACGTGATGCATGAGCAGGTGTGTTGTTTTAATGAAGCTGCCAATTAGCAGTTGCCCATACCTGCGGCCTTCTGAATCATCCGAACAGTTACCCTGGAGGAATGTTCAAGCTTAATGTAAAATTTGAAGCAGATTCACTGCTTTACTCAATCAGTGATTTTGAATGCAATGGACATACAGTACACATGGTCACTCAACAGCATCTACTGACCCCACTGACTAATACAGTGAAGTTGTCATTGTTCTTGCATGCACATTCCAGTCCACACTCTTTGGCTACCAGGTTACATCAATGTTGTGCAACCTGTTCTTGTTATATTAACAATGCCCGGGCTTTTTCTGGACAGACCTCATATTACTTAATAACTGCTATTATTAGTCCACCCTACATCTTTAGTTTTACCAAGTGATATAGCATCTAATACAAATCAGCCCAACTAATATTAGAAAAGCCACAAGTAGTGCACGTGATAAGCAAACCAGTATAGCTCTTAAGGGATTCTGAGATAATTTATTCTATTTGATTGCTTTGTGTTGGCATCTAAGCCACCTTAACCAAATATTTATTCTAATTATAATTTTCTACTGAAATTGCTCTGGAAAGACAATTTCATATGCCCTCCTCATTCAGCAAAAAAATTCTGAATAATAAGCATGCTTAAATTTGAATTATGAAATATTTTTGATTCTCAAAAGAAAGTTATGCTATAATTGGACTGTGCTCCTTCTCAGCCTCCCCTAGCATGAGGTCTTATGGTGCATCTCCCTTGAACTGGGAAAAGACTGCCTCCATCTCTTCTGGTGCTCATGGACTTCCATGACTACTGACATTGACAATTTTCTCTTTTCAATTTCTGGAGTATTTATTAAAATATAAAGAGCTATAAACATTTGCCTATAATTAATTGAATGTTTGACTATATAAAAATTTTACTTATAAAATATTTTAAACAATTATTTTACTATTATTTAATGTTTGTTATAGTTTCCTTAAGGTTAAGGACTGTCTGATGCTCCTCTTGTAGCCTTTTTTAGAGTTTGGCAGAGTTCTGTGCACAATTTTAACACTAGCTGGCTGCCTGTTTAGGTTATTCTATGGACACAATTCCTATTTGTCTGTAAGATGCCATGAATTTTGGCTACTCACTTAACAAGTGGCCATTACTCTTTGAGTTATACTTTTTCTTAGCACCCAAAGAGTGTGGAAGAGAATCACTGGTGAGAATCCAGGGGAGGGAATGTTGGAAAAAGCAGAAGTTTCTTCAGTGTTTAGGTTCTAAACTTATATTTCAAATATCTCCAAAAGAATTTCCTCCTCCACAGTGCATGATAGTGAGGAATTCCACAGGTTCATGTGGCTGATGAGGGACAAAACACTTTGGTGGCAGTATGTGTGTGTGTCCACGGTATGAGAAGTATCTACAGGGAGTGCTAGAAGTGTTTTGTAAGTTTTCATGAGCTGCAAATTATAAGGACAGAATACTTTTGATGTAGGTATGTATATGTTTTTTCTGAAATTCTGTTACTAACATATCTCTTCCAACAATCTTTAATAATTTTTTTAATAAAAATCAGAGACAACTTATAGAAATATTTTTGTTTTTAAAACCATATGACAGAAATTAACTAAATAAAATAGGTAAATTGGGCAGTTTGCCGTATAGTTATATGACACATGGAATGGATAAGAGAATTGATGTGTTGAGTGTAAGTAACAGTCAAGAGTTCAATAAGTAGCAAATTCTGCTGTTTTCCTAGTAAAGCATATTTTGTAACTAAACTCTGGGATCATTTGTTTTGCTTGTTCCTGTCTCCTATGCTTATAAAGATGATTCAATATCTTCATCACTGAAAAACTCAACCAAAGAACTTTCACTTCATTTAAAATTAAAGTATAAATAAAAGGCATAAAATTTTTATACTCGTTTGATCTTCAAAAAGAAAAATAAAACTCTAGTAAAATACCGTATCTTTCAGACTGTAAGACGCACCCAGGTTTTAGAGGAAAACAGGAAAAAAATTTTGAAGCAAAAAATGTGGTAAAATATTTAATAACATAAATAACATAATATTTCACCAATGTAAATGTAAAGCTACATTTGGACTATAAGACGCACATCCCTTTCCTCCCATATTTGTGGGCTTCACCCCCCACCCCGAAAGTGCACCTTATAGTCCAAAAATATGGTACACAAAACAAACTGGGATTTGGGATTAGTTTGCAAAAGTAAAGATTACACCTAGATGAAAATTCTTCCACCTCTTTAGAACAAAGGTAACGATTTTTTCTACTATTAGTCAAGCAAATTCAAATATCCTGAGAGAATCTCATGTTTTCTTGAGATCTAAAAGGAGGCCTGGGGTAAAAAGGGAGACCTGGAATATAGGAGTTGCTAATGAGGAATGGAGCAGGTAGAAGGTCTGAATGAGGGAACAAGGGGAAGAGGCAGGACAGTGAGGGGACTGAGCACTAAAAGAGGGTCAGGGAAATCTAGACATTTCCTAGCCTGGAAGAGGAGGAGGCTATAATGAGGGGGTCAGGGTGGTGCCATTTTTATACATTTTGGTTGCTAACAGGACCACAAAGAGATGCTAGGTAATCTCACCATAGTTAAACTATTTACTCTATTAACCAGATGTTTACTTATTGTAATCTAGCAACATTACCTCACTAGATCCTTATAGATAAGCTTTGTTGTTTCCAGATATGGATTAAGCTCATCCTCATATTGGCAAAGGGCTCCACCAAGGCAAAAATGTTTGAAAAGGCAAAACAGGAACTCTTCTCTATCTGGTTGGCTGAATATTTCATATTTTTCTGAGTCTTCCACTAGCAAAACCTGTGTAAGATGACAAAATTCATCTTAATGTAATATAATTCGAGGTTCTAATTTTTACGTTTTTGAAGGTTTCAACATATATTTAAAAATAACTTTAGACCTATTTTAACAACCAATCCTGAGGCAATTGGAGAGTGTGGTCTATGACATGTGCAGCACTTGTTTTCATCCCATTTTATTGTTAGAAACTGATCTTCTATGAAAGAAATAAATCTAAATCTAAACCTTCTCTTCTACATTTTTATGTTCTAGTTTTTGTCTTTGGTAATTGTTTTAGCGCTATTGCAATTTAGTGTTGAGTTGCCTTAAATCTTATTTGGAAACAAGAGGAACACAAATAAGTGGAGAAACTTCTCCATCACATTAGGTCTATAGTCTTTGCTTCTCTGGAGGCTAAACACAATTGTCATTTTCTTTCTAAGTCCTCTCACTTTACAGTGTTTGGATCACTACTTTTCTTACCCCCCACAGTTCCTCCATTTTTAACATATCAGTTAATTAGAGCCTCATAACCACCTCTCCTTTTCCTGTTCTCTAATAATATCACCTTATCCATCACAAATCTACATTAGCTTTTGCAGTCTTGAGACTTTGCTACCACTTTTAGAAAACAGTTTGACTAGGTATGATGTTGGGGATTTTCTTATACCATTGGGAATTACAGGCAATTAATTAATTTGTTGACTATGGTGAAAATGAACAGGTGATGAATGTATGTTATAACATATATTTCTTTTTTAAAATTGTTTATATCCCACCTACTTTTAAAAAAGATGGTACAAGAGCTAACAATAAAATACAGATAAGAAAAAATAATAATAAAAAACTGTTACCAAGAAACAAAATGGGAAAACAAATACACATAAAGAACTCTAAATGGAGGAAAGCTGTAAAAGTTGTACATACACTTAACACTTCCAGATAGATAAAAGAGGAAAACATTAAGTTATACAGCAATCACTGTCTAGTGCAAGAAGTACACTTAATTGTAAGAATTGATTAAGCTTAATGCATTATTTACCCCAATCTCAAGTTTCATTATATGAGGTATTTTAAAACATAATAAACTCTATGGTATTGTCTATATACAGTTTACTGATAATGACTTGATGAAAGTCAAAGTTATATATAGTAAAAGATAGGTAAGGGGAAGCGGTCCATAGTTTACTGCCCTCTGGGTGTGCTACTTGCACATCTCCCATCTCTTCCTCCCTTCCCATCTGTAAGGAATGTGATACTAAAGCCCAAGTTTGTAGCTACTTAAAGATATGGCTTAATACAATTGTGACTAAAGCTCTTAAGAATGAATAGTTTAAATACATGTTGATGGAAGATTATTTGACTTTGGGTGGTGGGCACAAAATGAAATATGCAGATCTTATTAACCAATGTCACCCAACTAATTTAATTTACAAAAAAGAATGATACACATTCATTCCTTAATGTTAATAATACATTTCTTATGAACACTCATATATTGAATTGATTAGGTTGTGCAATTTAAAAATTACAATAATTAGAAAAATTCTGGGATGAATGCTAAAACAATAACATTCTATGGCTGATCACCCTCTCCATTCACATACAGGTCCAGTTACAGCACTAACAGATTTGTATGCAATGGTTAATGAGCCAAACTTCTAAGCCGCAGTCAGAAAGGAGGTTATTATTATCAGTACTTACATTACACAGTGTGCCAATAGAATCTTTGTTGCTGCACAATGGGGGGCCCTTCTAATTTTAGGCTAAATCTGGAAGTTATTTATTTACTTTTCCAGCCAGAAAGCAACCAAGTTAAAACTTTCCGTTGCCACAGGGTGGCAAAGAACACAAGCAAAACATACAGGCAACTAGCAGAAAAAGAGTCCCAGCACTTCCTGAATAGAGGTGCTATTCATGGCATAAATAAGACTGGCCACAGCAGGCAGTTTTAAACAGAGTACTCTTTTGGAAAGCAAATCCTCCTTTTCAAAAAGTCCACTGCTGTGGCACTCTCTGTAGAAGTGTTGGTGAACTCTCCAAAATTAGGGGTAAGGGCCTTGAGACAAAAAAAGTTAAGTATGCCAACACAGATCAGTGACAGAGAGAAGAGCTGAGGTTAGTCCTATCCAAAGAAGAGAAATCCAGACTAGATCAGACACTTTCTGAAGGATAATTTCAAATTTTTGGTAAGCAAGAGTAGAAATTAATATAAGATCCCTACTGTACAGTATTTATATTATCTTGTTATATGTAAATACGCTTTACTTAAAACCAAACTATATACAGTCTCAATCAGATGAGTTTAATTATTCTCGATTAGTTCATTTTATTTTTCTTAAATGAAGAGTTCTCTTAGGTGTTGTGCTAGTGTAGATCAATGTATAGACTAGCTGGATGCCTTGGGGTCTCTTACAGACAAGACTGCTCTGTTCATTATGGGGCATCAGTACCTTCCCTAGTTCATTTCTATCTGGATTACATTAGATTTGGATGTAATGGATATTTCCCATCTCTCTTAATGTAGAATAATAATAGTAATTAGTAGTTAATATTATCGAAAGCTTACTAAGTGCTAGGCATTGTGCTAAGCACTTTAAATGCATTTTGTCACATAATTACTACACTATTCCCATTTCATAGATAAAGAAACCGAGGCTTAAAGAGGTGAAGTTATTAAGTTGTAAAGCCTGGATATGAACCTAAGTGTGTTTGATAACAAAGCCCTAATTTGTAACCACTTTGTGAATACTTTTTCAATAATAACAATAATATTTCAATCGCACTTCATACTTTTTAAAAAGTGCACTTAAATGCTTTCTCATTTTCTTGATGCTTTTGGGAAAAAGATAGAATGGATATTTAAAAACTTTTTTATTGACTGATTTTAGAGAGAGGGAGAGAGAGAGGACCATCAATTTGTTGTTCCACTTATTTATGCATTCATTCATTGATTGTTGTATGTGCCCTGACCAGGGATCAAACCCACAAACTTGGCATATCAGGACAATGCTCTAACCAACTGAGCTACCTGGCCAGAGCCTAGAATGGACCTTTTGATTTCCATGTTGTACAGTTAAGATCTTGAGGCTCAAGATATTGAATAATTTGCCTACGGCTATTATTATCTTGTAAATAACCATTCACCATTATAACTCAGAAATTAGGTTAATAATCTGATTCCAAATTCACTACACCTCTCAACAAAAGAAATTTAACTTAATCAAATGGATTTTTTGATCTCAGTGATAAGATAAAAAGATTCTTTTACTCCAGGTACATTTTAAAATACTTGTTTGATAAAAGCCCTGCATTGAAGAAAAATAGACAGACCAGGATTTCTCTGCCTTAGCACTACTGATATTTTGGGCCAGTTATAACTTTGTTGTGAGGGGCTGTTCTGTGTATTATGTCCTGTGTATGTTAGCAGCATCCTTGGCTTCAACCCATTAGATGTCAGTAGCACCTGGCTGAGAACTTCTGAAACACACAAATAATTAAGTTGATAGTAAAACTCTCCTCCAAGACAAAACCTACCAATGTAATAATTACTATTGATCATTATTCATTGATAAAAAGTATTTTGTGAATTTTAGACAAGCAAATGTTTTTTCCTAAAACAAAATTTTATTGTGAAATTAAAAAATTCTGCACTTACCTTTCGTAACTCATCAGAAATGAGAAAGGGATCACAAAAAGAATCTAAACATTTAGCAATATGTCCACTGTCTCGTACAATATCTTCATTGTATAACCGTCTAAAAAATGACATTGAAAGCTGTGTGCAAGGAACATTTATAGCTTCAATTTTTTTCACTTCAGTTCCTGAAAAATGATATTTTATAAATACAAATATAAAAATTAATTATGCATTTGCAATTATTTCCAAAACAGGTATTACTATGCAGAGGTTCAAAGTAATAAAATCTAACGTGTATTGATATATTTAAGAGATATATTAAAGAATTTTATTAAATTTTTATTTTGCAGTGTTTTGGTTGTTATTGATCATTAAAAGTTTGTGCCAAAACTTCACCATTTCAGGCCTAGGTGAAGGATTTGTAAACTAGAAAGTACTTTAAAATGAAGTAGATATTTTTTTATTGTATGTATAATACAGGGTTCTTAGATCATCTTTTTTGAAATACATTTTATTGATTATGCTATTATAGTTGTCCCATTTTCCCCCCTTTATTCCCCTTTGCCCTGTACACACCCTCCCACCCGAATTACCCCCCTTTAGTTCAGCTCCATGAGTTGTACATATAAATTCTTTGGTTTCTACATTTCCATTTTCTACCTACCATTTATGCTACTTATTCTCTGTACCTTTTCCCCCTCTTTCCCCCTCCCACTCCCACACTGATAACCCTCCATGTATTCTCCATTTCTGTGATTCTGTTCCTTTTCTGTTTAGTTTTTGTTTTTTAGGTTGAGTTGTTGATACTTATGAGTTTGTTGTCATTTCACTGTTCATAGTTGTTTTTGATCTTCTTCTATCTCTCAGGTAAGTCCCATTAACATTTCATATAATAAGGGCTTGGTGATGATGAACTCCTTTAACTTGACCTTATCTGAGAAACACTTTATCTGACCTTCTATTACAAATGATAGCTTTGCTGGGTAGAGTAATCTCGGATGTAAGTCCTTGGCTTACATGACTTGGAGTACTTCTTTCCAGCCCCTTCTTGCCTGTAAGGTCTCTTTTGAGAAATCAGCTGACAGTCTGATGGGAACTCCTTTGTAGGTAACTCTCTCCTTTTCTCTTGGTGTTTCTAAGATTCTCTCCTTATCTTTAATCTTGGGTAATGTAATTATGATGTGCCTTGGTGTGTTCCTTCTTGGGTCCAACTTCTTTGGGATTCTCTGAGCTTTCTGGACTTCCTGAAAGACTATTTCCTTTGCCAGAATGTGGAAGTTCTCCTTTATTATTTGTTCAAATGCGTTTTTTTAAAAAAAAAAAAAAGATGTGGAGGCCCTTGGTATATCCTCTCCTAATACATTTGCCAGCTCTTTGACTCCAGAAGTCACTTGAGATTCAGAGGAGTAATTCTGGTGATTATTTGCACTTCTTCCCGCTGGCTGTCTACCTAGAGTCCTGCTAGGACATGAGCCAGGCTAGTATAAAGGCAAGAAGGGTGCCTAGAGCCAAGAACTGTATATGCCTCAGTAATTTCAAAAGCACTGCTGCTAAGAAAAGCTCCTTTTGTTTCAGAAGCAAAATCTTCTGCGAGATTACAGTGAGAAGACCACAGAAAATAACTGAGTAGATCTAAGAAATACTGCAAGACCAAAAAACAAGAGCAGTGAAGAGCAAGGCAGTCTTTGACAATGGGTTGGTGGCCACAGAATGAGGGATTAACACTGGGCAACCTGCCATTTTAACAAATGTACATAAGTTCTGATTTAAGGAATAACAAGAGGGCTTGGATTCTGAGAGAAGGTAGTTAAATACAAACTACTTAATTTGAGGCACAGAAATAGCATTTACTATGGACTGAACTGTGTCCCTCTAAAATTACTGTGTTGAAGCCCTAATCCCCAATGTAATGGTATTGGACATGGGGCCCTTGAGAAGTAATTAGGGTTAGATGAGATCATGGGTAAGGTTAGGACTTGAACACATGAATTTTGAAGGAAAACAATTCAGTCCATAGCATTCTGCTCCTGGACCCCAAATTTCATGTCCTTCTCATATACAAAATGCATTTATTCTATCCAAACAGCACCAGAAGTCTTAATCATTCCAGGATCAATTCTAAACTCTAAAAATCCAAAGTCTTATCTAAATATCATGTAAATCAGGTATGGGTGAGACTAGAGGTTAAGATTCATCCTGAGGTAAAATTCCTCTCCAGCTATGAACTTGTGAAACCAGACAAGTTATATGCTTCTAAAATACAATGGTGAGATAGGTACAGGATAGACATTTCCATTCCAAAAGGAAGAAACAGAAAAGAAGGAAGAAATAATGATTCCAAGCAAACCAAAAACTTATCAAGGCAAATGCTGTTAGATTTTAAGCCCCAAGAATAATCCTCTTTGGTTCAATATACTGCTTTCCGGACTTCCGGCGAGATGGAGGCATAGGTGGACACACCGTACCTCCACACACAACCAGGAGTGGAACAACAACAATTTAGAGGCAGAATAACACCCAGAACTGACAGAAAATTTATCTGAATGGAAGTCGGACAGCCAAGAAGTTGAAATAGACCCGTTTATCCGGACTGGTAGGAGGGGCGGAGACAAGCAGCTGGGTGCGGGTCACAGCTCGGCACAAAGAACAGGGAGAATTGGGCACATAAGGTAACCAGGAGCGTGTAAGGCATCTGGGGCACACAAGATCACAGTGGGTGGACCCTGAGTACGCAAGAGGCAGCTGGCAGACCCAGTGAGGCAGCAATTGTGGAGCAGGGCAGAGCACACAACCAAGGATCCCAGGGAAGGGGCTGAGGTCCCACGAAGAACGGAGCTGCTGCCATTGTTCCCTCTCGACCCTGCCCTCACATACAATGTCACAATCTAGCGACTGGGGTGCCCAGCCCTGGTGAACACCTAAGGCTCCGCCCCTCACCATAACAGGAGCGACCAGACCCCCCCCCCCAAAAAAAAAGAGAGAGAAAGAGAGACATGGCTCAAACAAAAGAACAAATCAGTGCCCCAAAACTCTTCCTTTTGAGCGACTAAGAGATAGCCAACCTATCAGATGCACAGTTCAAAACACTGGTGATCAGGGAGCTCACAGAATTGGTTGATTTTGGTCTCAAATTAGATGAACAAATGCAGGTTACCATGAAAGAAATGAAGGAAAATGCATAGGGAACCAATAGTGATGGGAAGGAAACTGGGACTCAAAACAGTAGCATGGACCAGAAGGAAGAAAGAAACAACCAAACAGGAAAGAATGGAGAAAGAAGAATTCAAAAAAACGAGAAGCTTAGGAACCTCCAGGACATCTTTAAATGTTCCAATATCCGAATTATAGGAGTACCAGAAGGGGAAGAGGTAGAGCAACAGATTGAAAACGTATTTGAACAAATAATAAAGGAGAACTTCCCCATTCTGGCAAAGGAAATAGACTTCCAGGAAGTCCAGGAAGCTCAGAGAGTCCCAAAGAAGTTGGATCCAAGAAGGAACACACCAAGGCACATCATAATTACATTAGCCAAGGTAAAAATGGAGAGAATCCTAGAAGCAGCAAGAGACAAGGGGACAGTCACCTACAAAGGAATTCCCATCAAACTGTCAGCTGATTTCTCAAAAGAGACCTTACAGGCAAGAAGGGGCTGGAAAGAAGTATTCCAAGTCATGAAAGACAAGGACCTACATCCCAGATTACTCTATCCAGCAAAGCTTTCATTTAGAATGGAAGAGCAGATATAGTGCTTCTCAGATAAGGTCAAGTTAAAGGAGTTCATCATCACCAAGCCCTTATTTTATGAAATCTTAAAGGGGCTTATATTAGAAAAGAAGATTTAAAAAGAAAACATGTATAGTAAAATGACAGCAAACTCACAATTATTAACAACCACACCTAAAGTAAAACCAAAAGAAACTAAGCTAACAACTAGAACAGGAACAGAACCACAGAAATGGAGATCATATGGAGGGTTAGCAACAGGGGAGTGGGAGGAGAAGAGAGGGCGAAAAGGAGCAGAGAACAAGTAGCATAGATTGTAGGTAGGAAATAGACGGGGGGGGGGGGCAAGAATAGTATGAGAAATGTAGAAGCTGAAGAACTTATGACACATGGACATGAACTAAAGAGGGGGGAAGTGGATGGGAGAGGGTGTGTAGGGTGGAGGGGAGTAAAGGGGGGAAATGAGACAACTGTAATAGCATAATCAATAATATATATATATACACACACTGCTTTCCACAGCCACTAGGGCTGTGGCTCTGCCTCTGTAATTCTCTCCCCAAGACAGACTGTGTTGTTGAAACTGAGAGGGAAGTCCTCATAATCTCTGAATTGCATTTTCAGTTCTCTTTTCTTGAAAAACAGAGCATGTTTGCAGCTGAAGGGCTCTATGGTATAGTCCTATAGGATATAAACTATTTGCCAGTCTTCGCTTTTTTTTTTTTCCTCCTGTTCCCTTTAGTTCTAACTGGTGTGTCTTTACTGGTAAAATCTCCATTTCTATTACTGGCTTCTGGTGAAATGGCTGATTAAGCCCATAAACTTAACCCATGATCTCTTTATAAAAAGGTTGCTCAGACACTCAGTGTTCTCTTCCGAACAAGCTTTCCCATTTTTTTTTTTTGTGATATAGATATGCTGGGAATTTCCCAAATCTTCAAGTTCTGGTTCCTTTTTGCTTAACAATTCCTTGCTCAATTTCTCTCTTTTCTTATTTTACCATAAGCATTCTAGAGGACCTAAGCTGATTTCCTTGACACTTTGTTTAGAAGTCTCCTCAATTAAATACCCAATTTTATCACTCATGACTTCTACCTTCCCTAAAACATTTGTCAGGTTCTCTGCCATTTTATGACAAGGATTGCCTTTCCACCAGTTTCCAGTAATGTTCCTCATTTCCATCTAAAAACTCACTAAATCAACCTTAACATCCATATTTTCAGCATGCACCTCAAAAGTCATTCAGCCTATACTCATTTCTGTTGCACAGTTTCAAACACTTTCACAGTTTTAGTTATTTGTTACAGCGGGACTCCGCTTCCAAAATCTGTATTAGTTAGATCAGGCTGCTATCATATAATACCATAGACCTGGCGGTTTAAACAAGAGACATTTATTTCTCACAGCTCTAGAGGATAGGAAGCCCAAGATTAAGGTTTTGGCTGATTTGATTCCTGGTGAAGACTCTTCTTGTTTTGCAGATGACTACCTTCCACCTTTGTTCACACAGTGCAGAGAGCTCTGCAATTCCCTCCACTTCTAATAAGGGCCCTAATCCCATCATACAAGCCTCTCATGACTTCATATAAACCTAATTATCTCCTAAATGCCTCATCTCCAAATATCATCACAATGAAGGTTAAGGCTTCAATATAAGAATTTTGAAGGGGTATGATTCAGTCCATGGCACATGCTATTTGTTATGTAGGAATTTGGTTAAATTTTGTCTCCAGCATTTATTAGATATATAATGCATGACTCTGATCACACAGAAAATTAAAATATATGATTTTTTCCCCTTGATACTAGCATTATAATACACTGGGTATTTCATTTTTATTTTGTGTCCAAGTTGGTGCTTTCCTGGCAACCTCATTAACATGGAAGTGCAGAGGTAGGATGGTGCAGTGGTCAAGATCTTGAATTCTGAAGCCTGGACTTGAATCTCTATCCAGAGTAGTGTAGTAACTTAGCTCACGCCTCTGACTTCTCATTCGTGAAATTTATATATGTGTGTGTGTGTGTACACATATATATATCAGAGCTGTTTTGAGAATAATGTGTATAATGCTCTTAGCTGAGCACATAGAAAGAATCCATTGTATATAAGACAAAAAAGGGCAAAGCATGGCTAAATGAAGAAGCCTATGGTAGCTGGCTGAGAGGATGAAGCTGCACTCACAATTGGCAATCAAGGCAGTGCAGTCAGTAGTAAAGGAGGTTCCATCACACTCTCTTTAACATTGGTTCACTTGCTAGATGTTTTTGTTCTCATTTTAAAAAGCTGTTTATCAAGGGCTCCAGAGGGAAAGTAGATGACCATAGTTCAGAAGAAAAGTAGGTAGGGAAGAGAAAAAAACAAGCTAATGGAAGAATACTAGCAATCCACTAGACCCATCTGCTTCTGAAATGAGTGCTACCTCTTCTACCCTATTTTTCACAGTACTTCTACTTGATTCTGTCAGGCACATGTAGAATTTTAGAACCTTTCTTTTTGCAATGTCTTTAAACATTTTTTTTAAAAAAATGTTTTGTGAAATATGTACCAACATGGGGGAAGGTTGAACATTTTTTTTTTTCAATGAATCTTATTTTTGTAAATGAATTGACTGGTTACTGTAAACATGCTTTATAAACACTGTGATACATGGTTCATTATTTCCTTTTGAAGATTCTGAATTGGTAAATTTTGCTCAGATCTTCAGTTTAACTTTGTAAGTAGTCTGAAGATCAAGCTGTACCAGCTTTTTACTCTGTAAATTTTGCAGTAGTCTTTTAGCCAAAAGCAATAAAATGTGACCTACTAAATCTAACATCATGAACTATTTGTAATCTTGTTTTTGACTAAGAGAAGTTATTTTTGTGCAAGGCTACTAGAATTCCATAAAAATACAATGTAAGAATTCACCACAATGACCCCATCCAATTTAAAATCAACTTGCTTTTTCTTGAGCATAATTCACATTACCAACCAGTGATGAATGATGAATGATGTTAAATGCAATGATGATTGTTAAGAGGCCTCAATCTAAAATGTAAAATACGGTGTTCACACACAAACTCATGGTTGTCAGACGGGAGGGGCAGTTGGGGGATAGGTGAAAAAAGATGAAGGGGTTAAGAAGTACAAATGACCAGTAATATAAACAGTCATTGGGATGTAAAGTACAGTGTTGGGAATATAGTCAATAATACTATAATAACCATGTTTCGTGTCACATGGGTACTAGATTTATCAGGATGATCACTTCATAAGTTATAAAAATGTCTAATCATGGGGATGTAAGCCCGAAACTAAAATAATATTGTATGTCAATCATAATTTTAAAAATGAAAATGAAATATAAAGTAAAAAATATACTGTTCATATTTTTGTTTTCAAAATAATCTTCTATTAATGCTGATTTATTCCTTGACCTGAGAGTCATTTAGGGATTTGACTGTTCCTAAGTGTTCAGGTAATCTTTAAAAATTACTAGCTATGTTTCAATGCATCATGAAAACATTAGCTATACAAAGTTTTCTTTTTGAAAATTTAAGACTCTTCCAAGATTTAATGTATTCTTTTTTAAAAAAATTAAATTTGGGGGGTTAAGTATTATTATTTTTTAAAGAATATTTCATAGTGGCTAGCTCCTATCAGAAATCCATTACCCCATCCTAAATGAGATTTTTCCCAAGCACCCTCAAATCAGTGGAATTTCACCTGATCCACTCCCCCCTGTGTAGAATTGATCACTACCCTCCTTCTGCTCCCACTGCTATGGTAGCACCTATGATACATTATTGCACCTATTTTTCACATATCGAGTTCTTTGAGTACAGGTTTTCTCTTATTCATTTTATTTATTTTTAAATTTTATTTATCTTATTTTTTAGAGAGGGAAAGGGAGAGAGAAAGAGTGGGAAAGAAACATCAATGTGTGGTTGCCTCTTGCACCCACCCCTCAATGGGGACCTGGCTAGCAACCCAGGCATGTGCCCAGACTGGGAATCAAATCAGTGACCCTCTGATTCGCAGGCTGGCACTAAATCCACTGAGCCACACTAGCCAGAGCTCTCTTATTCATTTTAATGTTCCCTGTACCTGGCAGAGTCCATGGAAGGTATGAAAAAAAGTATTTTCCAAATTAATGAAAAAGAAAAATTGCTCTTATGTGCTAAGTCAGGAGAGAGATGCAGGGCAAGCCTGGCACAGCTAATTACATTTGACCTTGATGTTATCAAACAAATGACTATTCACAATTTATATTTTAATAAAAATTCCTGAGGCAAAATTTTGTTATAATAGTAAAATAGTCATCTGAAAAGATAAAAATAAATTGTATTTACCTAATGTAATCCATTGTCCAGAATCTGAAAGTAACTTCAAATTAAGAATAACATTTGGGTCTTTGAAAAAAGCCTGAAATACAAATTTGAGGGAAACAAGTTAGATACTTTATTATAAACAATAATAAGAACTAACTTTTAAAATAACTATAGTAAAATCTCATTTAATTGGGGAAAGATAATTTTAAATTGGTAAAATGTCTAAGTAATAAATGCTGTATAAAGAAATGAAGTTTTATTACCTTCAAGTTGGCACAGTATGAATGACATTGTATATCAAATTATAGGTATCTCTGACACTTAATAAACAAAATAATGATTTACAGTGAAAAGGAAGAGGTTATATAATGTTTGAGAATTTTGTTTTCTTTCATTCTTGTTTTCCCAATTGTCTTGGTAATCACCACCGCCTTTCCTCAACTAAAACAAAATATAAAAGTGTGTGTCAGCTTAATTCTATCCAGGAAGCACCATAGATAAGTCATAGGTTTGACTTCTTAAAAATAAAAATTTTCTATATGACAAAAGAAAATAAAGTGGTCAAGTTTTAGTTTCAAGAACCAGCAGCTGACTCAGGCTGAAACCATCAGAAGAGAAACTTACTGAAGTATCTCAGGCAGTGCACATAATTTTCAGGAGATGGAAAGGATTGGTTAAAGGCCCAGCTCTGGGAACAATCCAAAATCATACATAGAACTGCCCTGGTGAGGTAACAGTCTTCCTTGCAGCCCCATCAAGCACTAAAGGAAACGATCACCACCCGTTCTCCTCTCTAAGGCCAGTGCTGTGCCAGGACTGTCCTGCCTGAAGCTGAATGCCTCTGCCATCACCTCTGCCAGTGAAATGGATTCTCTGTGCACCTCTTTCCTTAAGTTGCTCACTTTGAAATCCCAGTCCTGCACTGATAAGTTTGATTGGTAAACCTGGACCCCAGGTTTGTGCTGAGTGCAAAGGAGGCAAGTGTTGTAGGTTTTACTTTGGACTTCCTAAAAGTAAAATGACCCCCAAATCATATGTATGTTCAAAAGGGGCTAGGCAGTCAGTAAAAATACTGATGTCTATGAGAGCAATAAAATATAATGAAAACAATAGATTGGGAGAAAATATTTGCAACAAATATGATTTTTTAAAAAAACAGGAGCTAACATTCCCAATGGTTAAGATTTTAAAAAGTCTAATTTGAACATGGCCAAAGGATATAAAAAGTCACATATAAATCCAAATAGCCAATAAACTTATAAAAAGATGCTCCACTTCAAGACCAGTGAAGAGAAATGAAAAACAAAAAACAAAAAACGAACAAAAAAAACACCCTAGAAGACATTACTTTTACCCATTACATTGGCAAGATTTAAAGACTGGTAACTTTGGCAAAAGTACCAGGAACTATGCACTCGCACACACGGCTGGTGAAAGTATAATTTTTACAACCTTTTGGGAAGTAACTGGATATTAATCTTGAACATTAAAAACATGCATATTTTATGATCCAACAAATTCCACTCTTGGGTATGTGTCCTGCAGAAATAAAACCACTGACAGATTAAGATTTATGTACAATATAAGAATTTTTTATAGCATTATTTGCAGTGTAAAAACCTGGAAACAGATTTTCAGTGTCCATCAGCAGAAGAACGGTTGAATAAATTACAGTACATTTACACTAGATGGTATTCTGTTACTGAAAAGAAAGTACGTATTAGGATAGAATGTAGGCTCCACAAAAGTAGGAGCCCTGTTTTTCTTACTAACTGCTATATTCTCAGGACTCAGAACGGGGCCTAGCACATAGCAGTTACTCAATAAACATCTGCTGTATTGACTCTGAAGGAAAACCATAAGCCTTTTGGATAGAAAGAGTAGTTTAAGAGTAATGTGTATGATAAAAAACAAGATACAGCCTCTATTTATTTGAATGTAAAGAAAAGTATGGAAGAATATATACCAAAACATTAATGAAAGTAACCTCAGAAGTGGTGGCTGCAGTGTTGTGGGAATGGGAGGCAGGTGGAGAAGGTAGGGGATAAGATTAGATGAGAATAGAGAATGATTGTTGACTCTATGAACTGTTCTTTGTGCTTAGACTGTTTAAATAAATATTTCTCTTATTTCAACATTCCTTTCAAGCTATCACTCTTTTCCTAAATAGCTTTCTGAATAGGAATCCATCTATTTCACCTCTCTACCAGTTATTCCTGTGTCTGGCTCCTGCTCCCATTACTCAATTAAAAATACACTTGACTTGCTAACTCCAAAATCCAATGGACACAGTTCCTGCCCTCATGGAGTTTACAGACTGAGAAGGGAGATATTACTAACATCCATGATTTTTATTAAGAAGCGCCAGGTATTATAGAATTACATAATAGGAAGATCTAATCTAATGATGTTGGGAAGAAAGGTTAATGCAGAAAGAACATTTAGGTTTAGATGGAAAGGTGAGTAGCAGGTAGCTGGGCAAAGGCGCATACTGGTAAATGTTTAACAACTGATACTCCTTCCTCTCCCACAAAAAGTCCTGATTCATAGCATCTGCTGATTTCCAAGGTGGATTCTAAGCTGCTACCAGTTTAGCAATTAGCAAAGATCCCTGAAAATTTAGCAGTCATGCTCTGCTGATCTGGTTCTAGCATGATACCGGAAAGATTATATTTTTTTAAGGTGGAGAAATGGTGAATTTATGGTCCTTCATGTGAGAAAGGAGGGGGCATCCCATTCAAGAAAAGTAGAGAGGTTCAGTGTGACTAGAATTTGAGAGGTAATGGTCAGATGAGGTTGGGGAGTGTAGACCTTGTAAGTCAAAAGTCAAAAATTTTTATCTTGATCTAAGATTGACCTAGCTTGATCAGTATTTTTATCTAAGAGCAATAAAGGACATTTAAGGAATTAAAACAGAGAAAAAGTGATTAGAGTTATTTTTAGAAGTTCATTCTGGCTGTAGTAAAGAGAATGAATTGAAAGGTGTCAGAGAGTGGTCAGGAGGGAGGCTTCTCCTGTAACCCAGGAAGGTCTGATACTCACATGAGTCAAGCCCATAGCAAGTAGGGAAGTACAGAAATAGATGGATTAAATGAATATTTAGGAGGCAGGGACAAAGGGAGCCAGAGGAATCAAAGATGACTCCTGGAAATTTTGCATGAAGGCACCACGCAAATGAATGTCATTTAATGAGAAAGGGAACAGTTCAGGGTGAAGATGAATACATTCAACAAGTATTTGTGAGTGTCTACACTTTGCCAAGCAAAACAATGTCCCTGTTCCCATGGAGTTTACGTTTAGTGATGGAGGACAAAGATAAACATGTTATAGGTGTCACACACACTCAATTACATAAAGTTTTCCTCAAAATTATTCCTCAGAAAAAAAATTTGCCTTATGACTTTACAAAGTCTTTCAGAGTAAAGAGGGTATGTGGAACTATTTTAGTTTATATAACATACATGTTTGAAAAGTAACAAGCTGGGATTAACCTCAGTCAGCACTGGTTTTGAATGCTTTTTAAGAGGTCTTCTGTATAAATCAGTAAAAGGGGGACATTTAATTAAGATTTAGCAATTTTTCCTGGGGAATGACAACTTACAATTATGTTTAGGTATCACTATAAATGGAAGTAGGCTAAGTGGCCTGCAGTGAATTGATCTGGAGCCAATGGAAGTAAGCCTTCATGAAGGCCCCTCATAAAGGACTATGGTGGTTATGCTACTGGGATTAAAATTATAGATCTAAAGAACTTTAAAAAAACACCCTACCCTAATGTATGCAAATGGTATTTTGGGTTTGTTAGAGAATTTCCAATGAGGCATTAGAAGGGATTCTCTGCATCTCAAATAGCTTTAGGAAAGCTGATGTGTTTTGGAAAAAAATATTAGATATTCATAAACTAATTATGGTGATAACAAAGATACTGATGATAAAATGCATGTGAAGATTTAAATAAACTTGTTTCATAAAATATTTGAAAGTATTTCTAAATTAATATATTATTTTCTACATAATTTTTACTGTATATCTACTATATGCCGCATATATGAAATAGAAGTACATACTTGACTATATCATCTATATGGCACACTGCTGGTTTCTGATCCAATATTAATCCTCTCTTCTCCCTTAAGGAATCCCAATTTTATTTGGGAAAGTTGCTTGCTCAGCTAAAAGTCTGCACTCCTAGTCTCTGTGGTATGTGGCCATGAGGTGTATGCAGTCTAGTCATGAAAGGTAAGCAGAAGTGTTGTGCAGACCCTAGGAAAGCTCTGTTAATTAAGGAGCTTCCTTGCAGTTTATGTGGAAGATTCCCCTCATTATCCCGAATCCTATGGTAAAGATGCCAACACTGTATTCTGAGCCCAGTGCTCCCTTAAGATTCAAAGTGAGATCTTATATTCAACTGTCTAGGATATTGCCACCTAGATATACCTCATGTTCAGTGTGCCTAAAACTGAACTCATTTTGTTTGCATTTCCTATGTGTTTAATGGTATCATCTGCCATTGGTAAACCAAATCAGAAACTTAGCTGTCCTACGTGTCCCCCTCTGCCTCAGTTCTTACTCTCAGGATTTTATCAGTACTTGTGTATTGCCTTTTTCCTAAATATCTCTCTGGGCCATTCTGGTGCTACTTTTTTTTTCTTGGTGCAACTATCTTAAATGAGACCATCACTATATACTGTCTCAGTGCTTCCAGACTCAGTCCTAACTATCTACCCTCCATACTTCTGCCACAGTGATCTCAGTATTTTACATTTTGCTGTCTTGATGAAAGCCTTTCAGTTACTCTTCATTAGCTAGATAAAGCTCCAACTCTTTTGCATAGCTCAAAAAGTTCTTCTAAAGTATCATTCCACCCATCTTTCTAATGCTGTCTATCTGAGCCCCACTTGTCTATCTGACAAACTTCTTCACATCTTTCAAGTGACTTGTCGTTTGGAAACCCTCCTCTGACCACCTCAGTCAAAAACAATCACTTTCTTTTTTGTGTCACCACAGTACATTGTGCACATGAGACATCTGCTATCAATGCTCACTCTGCAATGCAATTTTTGGTGCTTCCTTCTCCTTAATTGTCTTGTTTATCTGTACAGATCTAGGAACTAAAGAAATGTTTGCTGGATGAATGTTTCCTTCCTTCTTTCCAACCATTTACTACTTCACATATGAACTTTGGAACAGTATTTGTTTTTAAATTGAAAGGAAAAATCCAATATCTGGAATTCTAGTTTAGGCAATACCCTTTGTTTAGTTATGATGTTTTATAGTATTGTAGAAATGACATGGATATTTAAGTCAGAAGGCCTGGATTTTGCCACTTGTTGGACATTCTTGCACAGATTATTTAACCATTCTGAGCCTTAGTTTCCTCATCTCTAAAGTGGGGCTTGAAACACCAAATTTACCAGATTGTTATAAAGATTAGTGACAAATGAATAAAAAGTGCTGAAAGCTAATCTAGCAAACAGTAGTTACTATTGCTATAGAAAAACACTTTGTAAAGTAGTATACAAATGTTAACAATATGAGCCAGGTATTTGTTAAGTATTTTGCATATATTATTTTCTTTAATTTTCATAGCAATTCTCCCAGATATTCAGTAGTATTTTTATATTCAAACATACTTATGTGTCATTTTGCAGAAAAATAAATGGAGGCCGAAGAAAATTAAGTAACTTGCCCAATATCATGTAAGTGGCAGAACTGGAATCTGAACACAGACAGCTAACTAGAGGACAAATCAAGAGGATCCAGGTTTTATATGGCCTTAAAGCTTACATAATTTTAGGGGCTCTAAGAATACAAAAACATCTGTTTTTGAAAATTTTCAAAAACATATGACCATGTGACCATATTGGTAGAGTCAAGAGTTCTTTGGAAGGGGCTTCCACAAGGGAGAAGCTTGAGTGAGGGGCCCCGAAGATTCATTAGCTTCAATGGAAATCCCCTGCTGGGCCATGCTCTTAGCCACAGTGCTTTATTTCCTTCAAATTAGTTACGTGAGTAAAAATCATTGTATGAGCACATTTCTTTGCACTGAAATGTGGAAATAATGCCATTTACCTGACAGGAAAAAAAAATAGGACAAACATTAAGATTTTGAATATTAGAAAAAATTGCCTGGTATTAAGGAAATTGGTTGTGCATTATGGATGAGTCTTGAATCTACTGATGAACTCTGTGTCTACTGCACAACCCGAATGAATTCTATAATGTCCTCCATGAAATTTTTCCCAACACCAATGCCCCACCATTGAGTGGTCTTTTTTCTTGTGCCTAGAGCACCTGATATATTCCCCATTATGGCAATTATGTTATAAAGAATACTTTACATTTCTAGCTTCCAAAACTATCAGCTTTGCAAGCTAAGTCAGATCTTTTTAACAACTTCCAGCAGGGCATATAGTAAGAATAAGTGACTTATATTAAAATTTTCATAGTACTCTCAAATTCAGTGAATTAAATCCTGATCTTCTTCTTTAAAAAAAAAAATCATTAAAGGGAGAGCCAGTGCTAGCATAAATGAAAAGTATAAAACTATAAAAATCTAACCATGAATATTTGAGAAATGTCATCAACAGTGTTATAATAGCATTATATTATATTAACATTATAACACTATCTTAGGGAAAGAAAAATAGACATTTAACCCATTTACCCTCTGTTAAGGATTGAATTAGTGTGCTCACCAAAATCCATGTCCTTCCTGGAACCTCAGAAAGTGATCTTAGTTGGAAACAGGATTGTTGCACATATAATTAGTTGAGATGATGTTTTACTGGAGTAGGGTGGGCCCTTAATATTTACTGTTCTTATAAAAAGAGGAGACACAGACACAGCCACATGAAAGGAGAGGGCTAAGTGACTTTGACAGGGGTAGCAGCAAGTGAAGGAGTGCCCAGGACTGCTGACAACCACTAGAAGTTAGGAGAAGGTTAGGGAGGATTCTTCCCTATAGATTTCAGAGGGAGCATAACCCTGCTGTCCCCTTGACTTTTAACTTCTCACTTCTAAAACTGTGAGACAGTACATTTCTGTTGTATTAAGCCACCTCTTTTGTGGTACTTTGCTACAGCAGCCCTGAGAAACTAATATACTGTCACAGTAAATATTTTACTTTATAAATTAGGCTATTTTCTTCACTGTACTTATTGGCAGCCTTGCCACAGGCCTGTAAGGTCCCTGCAAGCCAGGCTTGTCTGTCTTGTTAGGTCTTGTATCCCCAGCACTTGACAGAATTTCTAGCACATGGTAGGCCCTTAGGAAGTGTTTGAGAATGAGTGAATAAATCAATGCCTGAGGACAAGAATGGCAAAGATAATATCACAGATCATAACATTATTTTCCATTCGACTGAGGAGAAAACACCCAGGAATTAAAGTAACATGAATGAATTTTAACTAATGCACCCGAACGTGTACTTTCAGGTTTTTCCCTTTTCAAAGCACTCATGTCTAGTAGCTAAAAGACTTATTCCTTTTTTTGGAATTCCTCATTTGGAACTGCTCGTAGAGCCTGCTCTCACAAAGGCTGATTTGATTTTGAGGAACCAAAAGTAATTTGAAGCTAAGCCTAGTAATTAAAGCTGGTGATAAAGCTGGGTAATAATACTAAAAAATGAGGTAGAGACTGATTCCCCAGAGAGAAAGACACTGACTTTCCAAAATAGTAAAGGTCTCTGTGGAAGGATACAGCAGATGGGCAAAAGTATGGTGATGGGAAATACAAAAGATCCTTTTAAAATTTATCACCTGCATCTTTCATTATTCTCAAGCTCCAAGAAAACGACATCACTAAGTAATCGAGTGTGCACAACAAGAATCTATGCCTAAGTGGGGGGGAAAAAAAAATAAAAAGTAGTAGAGGCGCAAGAAATCTCCAACGCCCATACCAACCATAACGAAATCATCCTTCCGGTAGGCCTGAAACACCTGGTCAAACCCGAACGCCTGTGCCTTGATTCTGCCCAGCATGGACCTGGAGCAGAGGAAGGAAAAAAAGTCAGCTTCGCCTTGGCACCCCTAAGAACACATTCGGCCAGTCCCACCCGCAGAACCCCTGCGCGTGTGTCATTGCTGCCTCGCGGTTTCACCCAAGATAGGGCCGCCCCAATCCGGCCCACGTCTCCACGGCCGGGAAAGACAAGGGGCTCTTCTATTCTTGCCCCTAGGTCTCTCACCACTGGCGGAGCCGGCTAGTGGTCTCCTTGGTGCTTAGAGACTGGAAGGTTTTCTGAGGCAGGTATCTGAAGTAGTACCCTTCCAAATCACCCTGCTCCCCTTCCGCCATTGTGGTCTCCGCTGCGCCCAAATGGGGCCGTTTCCATAGAGACACGGCGGCCGACGCTGTGAGGGCGGGGCTGGCGGGGCCAGGCGTACACTTGGGTCTAAACGTGCAGCATTACGGCCGGGGGTGTGCTGTCAGGAGAGGAAATCAGCTTCGGCTTCCCTGGGGGCTGGGGTCAACGCTGTTCCCCGGTCCCAGGGCCCTCCACTCCTCCACCCCTGGCCTAGCGGTTATGGTAACTAGGGGTCCGAGATGAAGAAAATTTGCCAATACATTCTTGTAAAAATTCTCTTAATTACTTTGCATGGGTTGTTTTACTGTCTCAGATGCTGCAATCTTGGATGCATAGTTATCTAAGTTTGGTGACTCAAATATTTCTGAAGAAAAATTCTGACTTAATTAGGTTTATCTATTTTGGAAGACAAATGTTTATGTGACTACTTGGGAAAATATTCTGTTATACCACCTGGCTCTTTTTGTAAAGTTGCACCTGAAGACTAAAACAAATTACAAATTTTCTATACGCATTGCAGACAATATCCTGTTTAATAGAAACACATGTTTCTTACCTTGTATTGAAAATTACCTTTTGTATCTATAATTCTCATTGTTATTTTCTGTCTAATTGCAGTGTATCTGGCTTCAGAATACCGGTATAGTTTTTCCTATATCTTTGCTAATTCCTTTTCCTTTCCCCTTAGTCTTCAAAAACTGATCTTGATTATTCCTTAGTCAGCAATAGCAGGAGAGACAGGGAGAAAAGCACATGCCCACAGAGAATAGTTTTTTCCGCCATTGATAAGTACTCCATTGTTTGCTATACGACAACTTAAACTTTTGTGTTGTTTACAGTTTGAGGGTATTTTCAAAGTAGCCGTGAACAGTCAGGTGCATATCTTTTGATGGATTTATGCACTCATTCCTGTTGGAAACATAACCAAGATTGGAAGTGCACAGTCATAGGGGATAGTGGTTTTATGAGATACTGCCAAAAAGTTTTCTAAAATAGATCAATTTATACCCCAGCCAGCAATGTGTGAGATTTCCAGTTGTTCTACATTTTTGCAAACACATAGCCATTACGATGAGGGCTTGTATTAATTTCTCCTTGTGATTTTAAGTTTGCATTTCCTTGATAGTTAATGTTGTTCAGCAATTTTTTATATACATATTGGCCATTTGGATATCTTCTTCAGTGAAGAGCCTATTCAAGTGTTTTGTCCATGAAACATTGCCAGTCTCTTTTTTGTTTATAGGAGGTTTATAATCATCTGGATAAGTCCACTGCCCGAAATATAAGGTCTGTCCAGAAGGTATCCAGCCATGTAATATGAAAAATAGAGACATTTATTGAAGAAGATACAGGGTACATAGCACAATGACACCTCAGTCCACTTCAAAGTAGGCACCTTGGGATCTCACACAGTTCCCCAATCGCCATCAGCTGCCCCATCATATTTTCCTGAATCTCATCAACAGTCTGAAATCTCTTCCCTTTCAATGGATTTTAGTTTTGGGAAAAGCCAATAGTTGCAGGGTGCCAGATCTGGGCTATAGGGGGGCTGAGTCACCTGGGCAATTTGATGTTTTGCCAAAAAACTGTGCACGAGACATGATGCATGAATGGGTGTATTGTTATGATGAAGCTGCCAATCACCAGTTGCCTGTAGATGTGGGCTTCTGAATCATCTGAATAGTTTCTGTGGAAGAATGTTCAAGCTTAACATAAAATTTGATGCAGATTCATTGCTCTACTTGCTCATTTTGAATATGACAGCCACACAGTACACAGCTCACTGAATGGCATCTACTGACCACAGACTAGTACAGTTAAGTTGTCGTTGTTTATGCATGCATATTCCAGTCTACTCTCCTTGGCTGCCAAGTTACACCTATGCCGTTATTAGCAAACCGTTACTGTATTAACAATGGCTGGACTTCTTCTGGACAGACCTTGAACATTTTGCAAATATTTTCCTTTTAGTCTGTTGCTTGCTTGCAGCTTTAATGCTCAACAATTCTTCCTTTAATGAAGTCCAATTAAGTTTCTTTTATGTGCCTTTTTTTCTTTTGGCCTACACAGACTCATGGAGCTATTCTCACATTTACGTCCATGATGCAGCTCAAAACTTCTTTTTAAATATATTTTATTGATTATGCTATTACAGTTGTCCTAGTTTTCCCCCTTCACTCCCCTCCACCCTGCACACCCTCTCCCACCCACATTCTTCCCCTTTAGTTCATGTCCATGTATCATACATATAGGTTCTTTGGCTTCTACATTTCCCATACTATTCTTGCCTTCCCCCTGTGTATTTTCTACCTACCATCTATACTCCTTATTCTCTGTACCTTTTCTTCCTCTCTCCTCCTCCCACTCCCCTGTTGCTAACCCTCCATGTGATCTCTATTTCTGTGGTTCTGTTCCTATTCTAGTTGTTTGCTTAGTTTGTTTTTGTTTTAGGTGTGGTTGTTAATAATTGTGAGTTTGCTGTCATTTTACTATACATGTTTTTTATCTTCTTTTTCTTAGACAAGTCCCTTTAAGATTTCATAAAATAAGGGCTTGGTGATGATGAACTCCTTTAACTTGACCTTATCTGAGAAGTACTATATCTGCCCTTCCATTCTAAATGATAGCTTTGCTGCATAGAGCAATCTTGGATGTAGGTCCTTGCCTGTCATGACTTGGAATACTTCTTTCCAGCCCCTTCTTGCCTGTAAGGTCTCTTTTGAGAAATTAGCTGACAGTCTGATGGGAATTCCTTTGTAGGTAATGGTCTCCTTGTTTCTTGATGCTTCTAGGATTCTCTCCTTCATTTTTATCTTGGGTAATGTAATTATGATGTGCCTTGGTGTGTTCCTTCTTGGATCCAACTTCTTTGGGACTCTCTGAGCTTCCTGGACTTCCTGGAAGTCTATTTCCTTTGCCAGAATGGGGAAGTTCTCCTTTATTATTTGTCAGATAACTTTTCCACTTATTACTCTTCCTCTTCCCCTTCTGATACCCCTATACTTCAGATGTTGGAATGTTTAAAGTTGTCTTGGAGGTTCCTAAGCCTCTCCTCATTTTTTTGAATTCCTGTTTCTTCATTCTTTTATGTTTGGTTGTTTCTTTCTTCCTTCTGGTCCACACCATTGATTCGAGTCCCAGTTTCCTTCCCATCACTATTGGTTCCCTGTGCATTTTCCTTTATTTCACTTAGTATAGCCTTCGTTTTTTTCATCTAATTTGCGACCAAATTCAACCAATTCTGTGAGCATCTTGATCACCAGTGCATTGAACTGTGCACTGATACGTTGCTATCTCTTGTTCACTTAGTTTTTGTTCTAGAACTTCAATCTGTTCTTTCATTTGGGCCATTTTTTTGGTCTCAGCGTGCCTGTTACATAGCGAGGGGTGGAGCCTTAGGTGTTCACCAGGGCGGGGCAACCCACCTTGCTGTGTTGTGATGCTATTTGTGGGGGAGGGCCCCAAGAGGGAACAATGGTGCTTGCTCCGCTCTTTGCTGGATTTTAGTCCCTTCTGCTGCTTCCCCCAAGCAGACTGGGCCTTTCTGGTGCTGATTCCCAGGTAGGTGGGCTTGTGTACATTCTAGGACCCTGTGGGTCTCTCCAGCGAACTCTCCTGTGAGTCTGGGAGTCTCAACCCCCACAGGTGTTTTCAATTGGTGTTTTGAGGCTGTATTTCCTGGTGCTGGGACCCTGGGTTGTGCGGTCTGTCTTGCTCCCTAGTTTTGCCTGGTTTATCTACGCGAGAATGTGGGACCACTGGGTCTGCCAGCCGCCTTGGGTGCTGTGCCCCTGCACAATCTGCCACCTCGCTGGGTTCGCTGGCTGCCACCCAGTGCCCGGGGTCCACCAGCCACCGCTTTTTTTGCCTTGACCCCTCTCTCCCTGGCTGCCCGACTACACCCCTCTTACCCAGCTCAAAACTTTTTAAAAGCTCATTTTACTTTTTCCATATGCTTTTCTATTTGACCTAGCTCTATACATGATAAGAACATTGAATATTTCTATCCCACTGAATTTAAGTGACCCTTAAAAAAATCTGGTAATTGTTTAGGTTTAAAACTTTATAAGAGCATTTTCCACAGGACCTAACCATATAGTAATTTTTCTAGTTTTCTCCAACTTTACTAAGATATAATTGTCATGGGATAAATTGCAAATATTAAAAATGTACAGTGTGACAAAATTTGATATATGTATTCTTTGTGTTTTTCAAAATCCCAAAATAAAAATATAGATATAATAATTTTCATTTTGGGTTTATGATGCTGATTTAGCCCTGACTGGTGTGGCTCAGTTGGTTGCATATCATCCCACAAAGCAAAAGATTGTGGTTTCGGTTCCCATTCCTGGGCAGGGTACATGCCTAGGTTGTGGGTTCAGTACCTGGTTGGAGCACATATGGGAGGCAACTAATTGATGTTTCTCTCTCACATCAGTGTTTCTCTCCCTTGATTTCTGTCTCTTTCCTCTTCTCTCTGAAAATAAGTAAACAAAATATATATTTATAAAAAAGATGCTAATTTAAGTTTAGAAACGTCTTTGCTTATTTTTTGCATTACTCAAGAGTAAATCATTTTTATTGTGTTGAAGAAACTCATTATCTTTTTTCAACCTTATAGTTAGTGATTCTATTTTGAATATGTAGTCTTAAAGTGCAATATTTACTTGGAAATTGATAGTTTTCTAATTGTTAGCTGTCATTTAAATAGGCATGATTGATGTACATTCTATACAACCAACTTTATTAATTTGAGCTTGACAATGTTTTTATTTTAGTATCTCCCTATCATTGTTAAACTTAAAAAATCACAGAAATGACACATGTTTAATAGAGAAATGAGGAAGCAAAAAGAGTACAAATACACATAATCCCAGAGACATAACTTTTCAAGTTTTTGGAACAATGAAGAATATTTTCCTTAGGAAGATTTACCAGATAAAGAAGTGTTTAGTCTAAATTTTGTTGACTCACACTTTAAGAAACCTTGGCCAGGCAAGTATA